AAAAAAAAAAAAAAAAAAAAAAAAAAGGGCACCGAGGCTCCCATTAATTCTGCCTATAATCCCAGAACCTGGGAAGTAGAAGCAGGAAATCAAGGCCATCTTTGTGTGTGTGTGTGTGTGTGTGTGTGTGTGTGTGTGTGTGTGTGTGTGAAGTCAGTCTGGGCTACATGAGACCCTATCTTTAAAAAGGAGGGCTGCTGCTCAGTAGAGAACACTTGCCTAGTGTGGTGGTTTGAATAAGAATGGCCCCCACGGGCTCATATTTGTACACTTAGTCTCTCTCTCTCTCTCTCTCTCTCTCCCTCCCTCCCTCCCTCCCTCCCTCCCTCTCCCCCTCCCTCTCTCTCTCTCTCTCTCTCTCTCTCTCTCTCTCTCTCTCTCTCTCTCTGCCTGCAGGATTAGGATATAAAGCTCTCAGATACTGCTCCCCACCATGATGATGGTGGATGAACCCTCTGAAACGGCAAGCAAGCACCCGATTAAATGCTCTCTTTATAAGAGTTGTGATGGTCATAGGATATCTTCTTAGCAGAATAGCAAGACACCTAGCCTGTGGGAGGTTTTATGCTCAATTCCTGGTACCTCAAGAACAGAAAACAAGAGAGTAGTTTATGATCCTAAAACTCTATAAAAGTCAAAAATTCTCTCAAGACATAGTACCAACATAGAGTAATAAAGTTCACAGCCTTCTGCACTAAGACAGAGCCCTACCAGGCTAAGAGGGGAGCTCTAGAGATGTACTGTCAGAACTCCTGCTACACAAGGAGGCCTATGGCCATCCATTCACCGGGTAGTTATTCCTCACATATTTAGCCTCTCGCTTGCAGTTCACCCCTCAGGGCACAGCATCCTTGGTTTCCTCTCAGGCTAAGATCACCCTACAACTGGTTCTTGCCAACAAAATGGGACCAGAAATAGTCACCTGCCACTTTGGGTAGAAGCTTTAAGACTCACTGAGTAACTCTCTACCTTTTCTCTGCCATGGTACCTGCATGGTACCCATTCTCCTCTAAGTCCCCTGGACAGAAGGATGACGGACAGTGGATGCTGCTGCTATGATTCATGGTCTTCGGTCATAGAGGTTGAAGTTGTTCGTTTTCCTGTAACCTCACCCATTCTGGTCATGTATTCCCATTCTCTCTCTTTATCTCCCTTTCTTTACTTGTCCCTTTATTTTTTAGACAGGATCTCCCAGAGCCCAAGCTGGCCTTGAAACTCCTGGTTTTTCTGCCTCCACCCGAGTGCAGGGACTACAGGTGGATACCACAACCACACCTATTGTATGAACCCAGGGCTTTGTGCAGGCCAGACAGGCTCTCTACCAACTGAGTTACAGCCCCGTGTTATACTATGGTAACAATCTCGGCAATGCCAGGCATTGCAGTTGTGATCACATTCACTAGGAGCTGAAGTTGAGACTGTAAATGACTGATTGCAAGCTCTCCACCATTTCTGTGGACCCTGATGCCCCACTTATTCCTGACCTAAGCAGCAAGTGGGATTTCTGGGCACCTGTTGTCAGCTGCCATGTTCAAAAGGCACACTGAGCGAGCATGGGATGCTATTAGCATCAATAAGTTTGAGAAGCTTTCCAGTAATGGATGCTGACAAAGGAAAGGAATAGGGTGTGACATGAACAGGCAAGAGGAAGAGAGGCTGCTACCAGCTGAGAGAAAAGGATATCCAGGATGATTCAGGATTGGGAGCACCAAAATTCATACCAGTCCTCCCTGGCCCATTGGCTGGAGAATGAGGTGGATACTATACCAGCCATCCCTTCCGGGTAGGAGAAACACAAGGAGCTCTAAATGAGCTTCCCAGCACATTCATGAACACTAAGGTATTTCTGAGATGCAAAACACGCGTTCACTTCAACAGACTCTGCATGGCAGAAACAGAGGTGCTCCTGATTCTAGCCAACCAGCCTGTCTCAGCTCAAGCCAAGACCCAGAGGGAAGCTACCTGCCACACAAAGGCTCACTGGTGGCTCTGCCTTATCCTCCTCGGTGCCACCAGACAAGCAAGCAGAAGGTGAATCAAGAAACTCACATGAAGGATGGAAGATGGTTCATTAGTTAAGAGCCCCTGTGTTCTTGCAGGACCCAAATTCAGTTTCTAGAAGCCATGTTAGGCAGCTCACAATCACCAATAACTCCAGCTCAGGGGATCCATGAGCCTGCATTCATGTGCACACACCCACACTGAAACACACACGTACACATAACTAAAAATAAACCTTTTTTTTTCCTTTACGAAGAAACTCACATGTGATTGAAGAGGCCGAGAATAACACCAAAAGTCATCTGAACGATCCCCAGGATGACTGACATCTTCATCTTATAGGAGTTCAAAAACGTGAGTTTGTTGGAAGCCAGGTTCCAAATCTGGAGAAGAAACATGATGAGAAAGACATGAGTGGAACTGGGGAGGTTTCTTGGAATTCAGGTTACAACACAGTCCCCCAAGGATGCTGCTGTGGGGATGACAACATGCACATCGGGCTAAGAAAGGGGAAAAGATAAGCTTGTTATAGCCACAACTATGGTAACCAAGTGTGAGGACCACTGGTGCCATTGATCATATATCCCAGTGCAAGGGATAAAGACTGCCGAGATGGCCCCGTGTGGAAGGGTGCTTGTTGCCAAGTCCGGCAACTTGACAAACCAGAGTCACCTTGACCTCCATCAGATTGGCCTGTGGACTGTTTTCTTCCTTAGTTACTGATGTAGGAGGCCTAGTTCACTGCGGGTGGTTCCACCCCTAGGCAGGCATTCCTGGGTTGTCTATGGAAGCAAACTAAGCTATGAGGAGCAAGCCAGGAAACGGCTCCCATCCATAGCCTCTGCTTCAGTTCCTGCTTTAGCTTCCCCTCAATAACGAACTGTAATCTGCGAGGCTAAATGAGCCCTCTCCTCTCCTGTTTGTTTGTGGGCATGGTGTTTATCATAGCAACAGAAAGCAAACTACTTTCTGAATTCTATTCCTGGGACCCATGGAAAAGCAGAAGGAGAAACCAGCGAAGTTGTCTTCTAACCTCCATATGCATTCTATGGTATGCATGCCTCCCCTCATATATCACACACACACACACACACACACACACACACACACACCAGAAGATACATGGTTTGCCTTGTACCAACTGGAAAGATACTCTGAAATACTACGCAGAGTCTCAAACTTGCCTCAGCATCTTTACTAATGGCCTGCAGAGTGTTGACCAAAGAATGGTTTCCAACTCCTTTTTTATAGTATCCCATTTTGCTTTGAGTTCCCAGAATACGTCACAGGACAGAGCATTTTCCAGAACCTTCTTAAGCCAGTTCTACAATCACTTGTCAGAGCCACCATGGATAAGATACGGGTCCTTATAACCGGAGACTGCTCGTTCACTTCCTGGCCGCTCAGACCTGAATAATCACACTTAAACTATACTAATTACAATAGTTTGGCCAATAGCCAACTAAGAGTTCCCTCCTGTTCTCCCCTTCCCAAGTGCTCCTGTCTTTTCATGATTCCCCTTCCAGTCCCACCCCATTGTCTCAAACACACTTCAGATCTAGGCGTTGTATTAGAGAAAACAAGCAGCATTGGTCTTCCGGCAATAGACTTATGCAGCCCCACATATTATTTTCCAGTTTCATGCATTTCCCTGCAAAGGCCGTAATTTCATTTTCCTTTAAGGCTGAATGAAATCCCATTGTAGCACATTTTCTTTAGCCATTCATATGCTGATGGGCATTATGATGGGCATTAGGCAGGTTCCATTTCCTGGCTGTCAGGAATAAAGAAGCAATGAATATGGACGCGCGAGTGTCTCTGTGGCACAGCCGAGAGTGGGCTAGCTGGGTCATGTAGTTCTGTTTTCAGGCTTCGACTTCTGTGATGGCCACACGTGTTTACATCCCCCCACTCATGCTGCGTAAAGGCTCCCCTACATATTCCCCAGAACTCGCTGGCCCCCTCAATTTGTAAGTTTAAAGTTCTCCCTCCTTGCTGAGTCTAAGAAGCAGAACTGGGCGGATGGGGTTTGCTGACAGGTGGGTGTGGGCTGTGTGGGAAGAGAAGGTAGGAACAAAAGCAAAGGAATGTCACCAGACCCTGACATCTCTAAACTCCCTTTGCTTGCTTCCTGGTGACGCTAGTCTGACCGATGGGAACACCTTCCCCTCTGTGAAGATGCCAGCACATGGCATGGAGCTGGAGAGACGGCTGATGGTCAGAGCACATAAGGACCTTTCAGAGCTTGCTTCCAGCATCCACATCTGGGTCACAACCACCAACTCCAGCTCCAGGGGTCTTGATGCCTCTGGCTTTCTAGGACAGCTAGACTCGGGGACACATACCCACACAGAGACACATACGCACAGAGACACATACGCACAGAGACACATAAGCACACAGAGACACATACACACACAGAGACACATACGCACAGAGTTTCTTTTCAATTAAAAAAAAAGTGTTTTGTTTTGTTGTTTTTTTTAATTTTTTGAGACAGGGTTTCTCTGTGTAACAGTCAGTCCTAGTTGTCCTGGAACTTGCTTTGTAGACCAGGCTGGCCTCCAACTCACAGAAATCCCCCTGCCTCTGCCTCCTGAGTGCTGGAATTAAAGGTGTGCACCACCACCACCTGGCCAAAAATAAAATCTTTTTAAAAACATTAGCAACTTGTTTGTCTTTTACACGTTGCAGTTTACAGACTGGCTTTCAAGGATTTTACCCGTTTTGATAAAACTTAGAATGGAACTGGAACTGAGCCATAGGCCTGAAAAGTCTCCTGCAAAGCAATGCCTTCTGCTTTTATTGGGGTGAGGAGAAGAGTTAATGGGGAGAACCCAGGGAGACTGAAGGAGATGGCAGCATGGGGAAGGCTGCTGGGGAGCCACTCTGAGCCCCGTGCTGTTTACTCTCAGTTGCCCAGACTGACACTGGCCACTCAGGCTCCGTCCCATACAGAGCTGAAAAAACACTAATCAAGTTCCAGTCTACAGGAGGCACGGTTGATGAGGGGGCACAACGCTGCCACCTGGTGGCAGTGTGCACCGGCTTTCTGTGACTGGATGTGCGTGATCATTCACAAACCTCTCCTCAGAGATCACTGTCAAAGGGCATTGGGAGATGCCAGATCTTAGCTGGCTGCGAGATATAACAAATCGGTAAAATGAAACATGTTTTCTAGACCCAGGAGTCCGGGGAGATATCTCGGTCTGTGGAGTGCTTGCCATGCAAGCGTGAGAAGTCAGGCTTGACCCCAGGAAAATGTATGGTTGTGTGTGCTTTTAATCCTAGTGCTGCGGAGGCAAAGACAGGGGATCCCTGGGGCTCACTGGCCGGCCAGCCTCGCTTATTGGCAAGACTTAGGTCCCAGGTATGCTAAAGATGACACCCAAGGCTGACCTCTGGCCTACAAAAAAGTCATCCTACACAGTGCAAAAGAAAGATGTCACCCACTGGGGGGGGGGGGGAGTAGAGGACTTGATTAGGATATTAAGTAACTTATTTAATGCACAGACTATCTGGGCAGTCAAGGCCAAGAGCACCTGCAGGGACTGTCTACCTGTTTTCCCTTTTTCTTCTTTGATGCAGGATCTCTCATCGGCCAGCCAGGCTAGGGCGGGTCCCAGGGATCCACCTTTGTCCGCCTCCTGATGGTTAGGATTCCAAGCACATACCACCATACCTAGATTTTTGTTTTGTTTTGTTCTTTGAGACAGCATCTCTCTGTGGAGACCAGGCTGACTCTGAGTGCTGGCATTAAAGGTGTGCCCCACATGTCCAGCCCATATCTGGGTTTTGACATGAGAGTCTGGGAGACCAAACTTGGGTCCTCACGCTTGTAACACCACATGCCTTGCCAGCAGCTGAGCTTCCTCTCCAGGCTGCAAGGGCCTTTTAAAAGCTATCAAGAGCCAGCAGTGGGCTAGCTGCTGGAGAAGAAGCAGGCGGGAGGCCATATAGAAAGCAAGAGTTCAGGGTACAGCGGAGGTCACCTCCTGGACCAGCTCTGCCTGTCACAGGAGCCCCACAGTTATCCCATCTCAGCCTCAGGTGACTGGGCCGTCTCTGTTCAGAGGTCTGGACGACATGGTGACCATAGCTGGCATTTCACCCCGGAGGACATTCTTACCGGATCAATCCCAAATGGGTAGGGATTTCCAGAGTACACTCCTGGGATGGCCGGGTCCAGCTGCAAATACTGACTCTTTTCCACGACATGGGCACTACGAAAACAAAGACAAAGTGGGGAGACAAAAGTAATATAAAAATATATAAAGTAAGCCGGACGGTGGTGGCGCACGCCTTTAATCCCAGCACTCGGGAGGCAGAGGCAGGCGGATCTCTGTGAGTTCCAGGCCAGCCTGGTCTACAAGAGCTAGTTCCAGGACAGGAACCAAAAAGCTATGGAGAAACCCTGTCTCAAAAATCCAATATGTATATATAAATAATAACGAGCCAAGTGCAAAAAATATTATAGTGTCATCAGCCATGAGCTTCTGAGCCAACCAAAGCCCAGATGCTGGCAAGGTGGCCATTTTGTTTACTCAATGACTCCATGTTTGATCACAGAATAGCCACCATGTATCAGGTACTGTCCTGAGCACTGAGGCTTCTGAAGTTACTCTCTGGACCACACAGGTTAACAGCCCAAGTTCCCAAAGAGCCCTAGCCCTGACTGGAGTGCAGTCAGGAAAATAGAAACTGCAAAGCATCAGCAAAGAAGTGGGGACCGGGCTGCGGGAACAGACAGACAAGGAGGAGAGAAGAGGGTAGGGCTGAGCCCTGAGATACTGAGCCAGACTTCAAGGCAGTCCTAAAGGGCAGGCGGACTTTTCCACATAGACCTTTAGCTCTGTAAAACTCAATCCCCCGAAAGAAGAAAAAGGGGAAAGAAAAGAGATGAGAAACTTGGTCTGGCTACACAGTGAGTACCAGGGACTCTGTCCTTGTGTCCCCCCATACCGAGGTTACAAATACACACTGTCAACCCAGCTTTGGCCCCAGATCTCATTACAGATGGTTGTGAGCCACCTTACAGTTGCTGGGAATTGAACTCAGGACCTCTGGAAGAGCAGTCTTAACCTCTGATCCATCTCTCCAGCCAGGGACCTGGATTTGGATCTGCCTCTTGGCACAGAAGTACTTTACCAGCTGAGAAATGTTCCCAGACCCAGTTTTTTTTTTAAATGAGCCTCTACAGGAAACGAAGGATGTATGTGTTTGAAATAAAGAACAGAAGAATGTCCACAGTGACGGGATGCCTAGAAAAGTACTCTGTAAAACTGTGCCATGGTCTCAGTGGCTTGGAACATCAAAAAGTCTATTTGGACCACTACTGTGCCGCCTTCCTTGTTGGGCCATACATCCAACCCCAGTGACCACAGGAAGTCTCCAGAAAGCCACTGTCATGTGTCAGAGGAAGCAGGTCCAGAATGACCAAACTCCGCTGGAGAGTACTTCCGCTCTGGTGACGAAGGACTGCAACCTTCTCCACCTCAACGTGAACATGAGTCTACTTGGCGCAATCCCAGCACTGGGGCCTGTGCTGAGCACTGTCTACCTGGATTCCAGGGTGTCTGAAAAGCCAGTGGCTGAAAGGGCCATTTGCGGGGACAGTAAAGGCATGCATGCACTTGTACCCATGTCTGCAGACTAGCAAGCCCACTCTACAGGAGGAACGGAATTCGCGTAGTTTTGGGAAACCACACAGATTTAATATATTTTGAAACTAAGTTCTTCTAGGCGTCTCTACAGAAGCCTGTCCGTTGTAAGGGGAGCAGACCACAAATACAGCCATGTTGTAGCTTCGGTCTTAGCTTCCATCTTCATTCATTACCTTTATCATTGGCATCTGCTACTCCCAGAAACTGGACCTTCCAGAAAATCCAGATGAGATCTGTCAGAACCTCCACAACTCAAACTAAAGATCATCACCATCTGAGCTGGGGATGCGGTCACTAGCTTGTGTAGGACCTGCTTTCGGTCCTCTTACTAAAAAACAAAACACCACCCATTTCCTCCAGAAAGTTTACTGAAGCCTTCCAACAATGGCCAGCAAATCTCCTCACGTGAGACTGCCTGTTTCTTCTCTCCCTTCTTTTGTATTCTGTACAGACTTGAGTGGACAGACTAAACTCTTATTCCTCAAATAGAAGTGTTATAGACTGGGCACAATGAGGCACGCCTTTAATCTTAGTGCCTGAGAGGCAGAGGCAGGCAGATCTCTAAAAGTTCAAGGTCAGGACTGTGTAAGGAAGCCTAGTCTCAAAAACAGGAAGAAAAGAAGGGCTGGAGGTAGGGACAGAGGGAAGGAGGAAGGGAGGGGGAGAAGAGGAGGAAGGGAAGAGGGAAGTGGTCGGGAGAAAAGGAAAGGAAGAAGGGAGTGAGAGGGAAGAAGGGAGGGAACAGCACTTCCTCGATAGGAGGAGGAGGGGGAGGAGGCAGGATGGGAAACAAGGCTGTAACCACACTGTTTCTGTCTCTCTCAAGCTCTGAACCCCATCTACCCCCAGATCCCCATGCCTGAAGTGTTGCGCTTCCAGTCTGATTCACTGGAAAGTACATGGGCGGTGCAGACTGTGGGCGTGAGAGAGCTTCTAGTTGCCCACTTCCATCCATCTAGCGGTGCCCACCCTCCACCCACTCTCCTGACTCAGCCACAAGCAAAACCAGGGAGCTGCCAACGCAAACTCTTAATCTCCTCTTTGCTCTTACTGTCGAACTCTGGCTCTTCTGAGCAGCCTAAGGAAATGTCCTGTGGGATCTGCATACTGTACCACCTGTGCCAGCCTCTCCTAAGCAAAGACTTCACTAAGCTCCTAGCTGGCGATCTCACTCTCCCTCCATCTCCACACAAGAACAAAGTTTACTGCTGACCTCACCCTCTTCTTCCTGACGCTCTCTCTCTGCAATACAATAACCAGTTCAGTGGTTGGGGAAGTGGTGCAGGTCTTGCATGCAAGATAAAACTGGATTATTAGGACTGGAGAGCTGGCTTGGCAGTTAAGAGCACTTGCTGCTCTTGCAGAGGACCCAAGTTCAAATCCCAGCAACCAAATGGCAGCTCAGAAAACTAACTACAGCTTCAGGGGACCCAATGCCCTCTTCTGACCTCTGCTGCACATACATGGTACACACACAATTTCATACATGTAAAATACATTTTAAAAAAGATTTATTTATTCGTACACAGTGTTCTACATGTACACCTGCAGGCCAGAAGAGGGCACCAGATCTCATTATAGATGTTTGTTAGCCACCATGTGGTTGCTGGGAATTGAACTCAGGACTTCTAGAAAAGCAACCAGACCCCATAAGTAAATCTTTCAAAAAAAAAAAAACTACATTATTGGGTGAAATTTCAAGGGTACCTGTGATCAGAACTGTGTGTAAATGCCCAGCTGTAGAAGTAGGCATTGAGGTCTTTAAATGGGCAGCAAGCACACCCAGGCAGGCTATAAACTTACTTCCATGTGCCATTTCTGAACATAGGCTGGACGCTCCAGGAGGACCCAAAGATGTTAAAAGACTTGGAGAAGCAGTCATTGTAGATCAAGCCCGTGTAGATGGAGAAGATGCCCATGAGCAGGATCAGGTAGCGCCCGTTGAAGAAGGTGTTCCAGATCTGGTCCAGGGAAACAAAGGGTGAGTGTCAGTGGGGCCTGAAGAGATGCCGAGGGGAGAGTGATGTGGGTCATCTCCAGCATCAGTAGTGGAGGGAGAGACGGCATGACCAAGGCAGACTTCACAGTCGCCCACATTGGGGTAATCCTGGTTGGTATTCTCTGTGCAAACAAAACATGTAAGCCTCATGTTCTTTGTCTCAGCAGAATAGACTGCTGTGCATTCTGAGGCCTTGTCTGCTAAGGAAGGGACTGGAAACTGGCAGGCTGTGGTCTCCAGCACCTCCAGGAGAGAAGCCTGAGCTGGCCTCTGTCCCACCGTTCCAGGTCAGATCTGCCATCATTGGGGCTTTGCCTTCAGAGCTGGGCTTCTGTCTGCCACATCCACCAGGGAAAGCAGTTTCCTGGATGCAGGTACCATTCATTCTCAAGATGCTGAATTCGGGTATCATTCATTCCAGGAACAGGTGACATGTCGCTTTGCAACTTTAAATGTCTTCCACAGAAAACAACACCAGTTAAAAGTTTGCCATGGAAGACTGAATTGGTCACAAGACTGACCTTGTTTATGATTAACTCACAATGACATCATGGCACTCGCTCGACTAATCCAACCTGTGCCTCTTACAGCCTGGAACACAGCTAAGGGCATGTTTCCGCTCTGTCACGTGTATTACCATGAGCACACCTGCCATTAACTGACTGGCAGACGAACTCCAACCCGCACAAGCACCCGTGGACTTCTGCCTTCAAAACAGCATGGAAGAGGGCCGTGCTAAAGAGGGACACCAAGAGTGAGGTCCCAATGTCCAGGAACCCTTGGGGTTTCTTAGAAAGAGTCTCTGCCATGAACAAAACATTCATGGTATTTTAGGATAGGTTTTAAAAGAAGCTACAAATAATGTGTAGTTCTTGATGGCAATTTTTTAAAATTATGTATCTGTAGACAAGCACAAACACACAAAATGTAGATATATTCAAAAGCATCATCACCATCTTTCCTAGGTGCTCAGACTGTAATCCAAACTAAGTTCTACAATTAATATGTTTTGTTTTTATAATAAGAATAAAGAAAGATTTTTTTTTAAATTATGAGAAGGCAAGGTTTAATTCCAGCACTCTAGAGGCAGAAGTAAGCAGACCTCTGTGAGTCTGAGACCAGGTTGGCTCATATAGTGAGATCCTTCTCAAAACAATTAAAATAATGATAATAGTAATGATAATAATAATAAAGGGAGCTGGAGGTGTAAGAGAGGTAGAATCCTTGCTTAGCACACACAAGTTCCTGGATTCATTCCTCAGGCCCCCAAACAGCAACAGGAACCAGCGCTGTGGGCTGGCCTAGCATGCACAGTCTCCTGTCCAACACAGACCGGGCAAGCTGTGCATGCCTACAATCACCAGCTTCCAGAGGTAGAGACAGGAGGCTTAGAAGTGAAAGGTCAACCTTGGCTATAAAATGAATTTGAAGCCAGGCTGGGATCCATGAGACTCTAAAACAAACAAACAAAAATAAGTAAGCCAAAACCCAATGCCTTATTATCCCAAATGAGTTGGTGAACTTACTGCAGCAAGCTGCCCAAAGGAACCAACCACCTTGTTCAAAAGCCTTATGTTGAATTAGGCTATTGGGTTGGGGGTTTGTTTTTGGTTTTTTTTTTTTTTTTTTTTGAGACAGGATTTCTCTGTGTAGCCCTGGCTGAACTAGCTCTGTAGACGGTAGACGAGACTGGCCTTGAACTCAGAGATCCACCTGTCTCTGCCTCCTGAGTGCTGGGATTAAAGGTGAGCACACCAGCCTCCACCACTGGGCTGAACTGGGCTATTTTTAAACTTTGTATCTTTTTCTTGTTTCTCACAAAACCATGTTATTCCTTAGAGTGACAATCACATTATGTTTATTTTTTTATGTGTGAGTATATGACACACGTGTTCAGGGGCCTAAGAAGGCAGAAGAGGGAGCTAGATGCCCTGGAGCTAGAGTTACAGGAGGTTGTGAGTTACCACAACACACATGCTGGAAACCAAGCTTCTACAACTTCTACAAGAGCAGTTAGCACTCTTAATTGCTGAGCCAGCCCTTCACATACACATTTCGTTTTTTGTTTTTTGTTTGTTCAAGACAAGGTCTCAATGTCTCTCAGTCTGGCTGTCCTGGAGCTTGCCTTGTGGGCCAGGCTAGCCTTGAACTCACAGAGTTCGTCCTTGTCTCTTCCTCCCAAGCACTGGGATTAAAGGTGTGTGCCCTGTGCACCACCACCAACTCCTCAAGTACACATTTTACTGCTTTCCCTCCAGGAACACTGGCTGACCACCCACCTCATTGGTGCTCTTCTGAGCCAGCAGGTGCCTCTCGTTTAGGACCATCCACAGGGCCGCCATTAGCATCACCAGCCCGTGACCACAGTCTCCAAACATCACGGCGAACAGGAAGGGGAAGGTGATGATCGTGTAGGGAGCTGTAGGGGTGACAGTCACAGCGGCTGAGGCCCCTGAATGTGTCCCCATACCCCCACCAAGATTTCTCTAGAGAGGCCCCTCGAGCAGCAGACAGGTCCCCACAAGCCTTTCTGATTGTCTTCCCCCCATCTCCACACAGTACCGGCATGGTCCCCACATGCCCAAGCTACCCCATGAGCACAGATTCTCCTTTCTCAGCTTATGCCAGCACTGAGTCTTTCACAGGTGACTCAGGCGTCAAGCTGCCCACGGTCACAAAGTTAGGTGTCATTTGTAATGGTTGGTTTTTGCTGGACTGGATCAGCAAAGCACCTCTGGGTGTTTCTGTGATAGCATTTCCAGGAAGATGAGATCCTGCAGGCTCTGACCTAACCTCTGGATTAATCCCTTGATGAATTCATGGGACGGTGGCGTTGGGAGGGGGTCAAGGGCAGAGAATGTCATCTAAGGCCTCAGGTGCTAAACAAGGGATTGGTCACTGACAGGCTGCAGTCTGGGGCGTCCCCAGGGTACAACCCCTGAGCTGGGTCTTCAATGTCTGCTCTTCCATCGCAGACTGGAACTGTATCCATTTGCAGAAGTAAGTGCTGGCTAGGTTTGTTTTGCTTTGTTTTGTTTTCCTCAACTTGACACAGCTAGAGTCATTCTGGGGAGAAAAGGCCTCCATCAGACTGACTGGTAGGCAAATCTGTGGGGCATTTTCCTAATGACGTGAGAAGGCCAGTCCACCCGGAGCGGTGCCTCCCTGGAGTATAAGAAAGTGAGCTGAAGAAGCCATGAGGCTCAAGGCAGCAAGCAGCACTCCTCCGAGGCCTCTGCTTCAGTTCCCGCCTCAAGCTCCTGCCCTGGCTTCCCTTCATGGTGAACTAGAACTATAAGGTGAAACAGACCCTTTCCTCCCCAGTTTGGTTTTGGTCATAATGTTTATGGCAGCCACAGAAACCAAACTAGAATAGACTCATCCTCGCCCTGATCCCTTTCCATAGACCCTTTTCTCAGCTCTTGTTTCTCCTTCCCTGCATGTCAGACGTCCCCCACCCCCACAGGCTCACATTTGAGCACTGGTTCCCTGGTTGGTGGCACTCTTTCGGGAAGATTATGGGACCTTTAGGAGGAAGCATGGGCTTTAGATTTTATGGCCTCGCCCCATTTTCTGTTCTTTCTCTGTTTCATCTGCACACAGGTTTCCTGCCGCTACTGCCATGCCCTCTCTACCTGCTGGGGATAGACTCTCCCTCTGGAACCAGGAACTAAAATAAACCCTTGCTTCCCTACGTTTCTTTGGTCAGGTCATTTTATTACAGGGCGGAAAAGCCCTGATAGAATCCCATCTTCCATAGGCTGTTTATGGAGGTATTTGGCCAGTGTGGTAAAAGTGGCTAACACAGGACTGGAAGGGTGTCTCTAACTCCTGTATTCTTGTCAGTATCATCTTTGGTCTGTCTCCACCCCAGACAGCACCAGCAGTCACTCACAGGCATCATGACCCCCTGAAGGCCCCGAATTATTGGTCACAAGTTAGAGAAGACTCCGGCTAGAGAAGAATCCTCTTCTCTGTGTGGCTATGGAGCATCTAGTCTACCCCTCTATTTTACTACCCAGGCCTCCATAGTCACATGAAACAAGTCAGGCTACCAAGAATCTATTCTCTTGATCTCAGGTCCTGTGGATCCTTGTCTTTCTCACATAATAATTTCGGAATTGTAAAGATGCTACAGGGCCTTGGCTGACTTGGAGAAGAAAATGAAACCTAGGGTTGGCTCACATTTAAAACAGCCAGGCGTGGTGTTACTCACTTGTACACTCAGTGCTCAGGAGATGGAAACATGGAGATCGTGAGTTCAAGGCTACCCTGGGTTACATACAGGAACCTGACTCTAAACAAAAACATACTCAAAAGGCTGGAGAGATGGCTCAGTGGTTAAGAGCACTGACTACTCTTGCAGAGGATCTGGGTTCAATTCCCAGCACCCACATGGCAGCTCGCACTGTCTGTAATTCCAGTTCCAGGGGACCCAACACCCATGACAAAGCACCAATGCATATAAAATAAAAATAGATAAAATAAGCATACTCAAGGAGGGGTGAAGACAAAAAGTAAATCTTTCATAAGTCAGCATTTACAAAAGCCTTGGGAAACCAAAAGACATTGTAGAACGTCACGGTATAACTGGATTCACCTCCTGCCTCTACTGAGAGGCACACCTCAGCAATTTTCAATTTCTTGCTACCTCGTTGTGCAAGGCATCAGACCTTTACCTGGGTTTATCTCTCTGTAGCTCCCTACACCATAGGCGTCGACAATGTTCTGGAAGCCAGCTGTAAATTTATTAGTCCTGTTGAAGGTGGGAGGGTCCGCTTTCGTCTCCACTTCGGTCATGATGGGGACCATGGAGGAGCCACTAAGTTCCTGCAGAAAGGACAGGTGACCGATGTATATGTTTGAGAACTAAGTACCAGCCCACAGGTCTGGATCTAAGACACAAACTTGGGACATCTCTTGACCCCCCCAAGAACCATGATTCCACCTGTGCAAGGTGAATGTGTCTTAATACTTACCTAATATTGCTTACATGAGTGTATCAAAAGGGAAGAACCTGTCCTGGTTCTCTGGTCGTCCTCCATGCCTTCCAAACACACACACACACACACACACACTCAGCTCTAGGCTCTCTATTCCCCGCCCCTCCCCCACACCTTTCTTCGGAAGCTCAGTCGTTTGGCTAATTCATCCTTTTCTTTCAAGGAAAGAACTTTCTTCCACATCTCACTCTTTTCTAACTGCCCAATAGGTTTTCCTGACTCAGCATCTCTAGAAAAAAATCCATGCACCTACAGATGAATCTCCAATGCACCCCAACTAGGTCCTCCCTGTCCCCTGCCTCTTCCCAGAGCCTCCATTTGCCTAGGTTCTTGAAGTTCTGTGGCTACTATTTCAATCCCTTCTCCTGACTTAGTGGCCGCCATTCCAGCTCTATACGTCTCCCTCCTGAACCCTGGCTCCTGTTCGAGTTACCACCCTTGCCAGGCCTCACCACCTCCTCCAGCCTAGGTCCTTTCTGTTGATTCACCCACCCACCCACCCACGCTGTCCAGTCACTCTTAGAATAAAACAAACCAAAGGCATTGTTCTGCAAAGACTTCCTACAGTCTAAAGAGTGACGTCAAAACACCTTGGCTTCCTTACAGGGTTGACTTAGTCCTCCACTGACATCTTTGTGACCTACTCCTCATGGAAACCAAGACTGCGTAAGTCACCTCCTCTGCCTGACCATCCTCCACACCATCCACCACCCCAAACCCGCACAGCGTGCCCCCAGTGGGACTTCACCAACTAAAGGAGACTTTGCAGAATTTAGTCACACTTCACCTCATGATGCCATGAGGTAGATCTCAAGACAAAGCCCAGTTTAGAGATACGGAAACCGAGGACAGCAGGGTTAAGAAACTGCTCCAGGTCATAAAGCATCTGGAGGAGCTACCCACTCTCCAGTTAAGGGGGAGTAGGCGTCTCCTCCTCAGCAGCAAGGCCCAAAGCCTCCTCTCTATCCAGTACACACCCCACAGCAGCTGAGCCGTGGCTGGCAGAGGCCACAAGGGAAGGGATTGTGACGATGAGGACAGAGCCCAACACCTGTTCTGTCTTCACCCTTCCTAACCCTCCCAATCACACCTGTCCTGGAAGCACCTGGGATACTTCAGGGGGTTGAAGGAACTGCTCTAGCCAGCCTCGTAGGAAGCCTGGCCTTATGACGACACAGGATAACATTGAGACAGGGTCTCCTGTACCCCAAGGCCGGCCTTGAAATAGCTGTGACTCAAGGATGCTCTTGAACTTCAGTCCTTCCACCTCCTGAGTACTGGGATTACAGGCGTCCTCAACTCCCCTGCTAAATTCTAAATTCAATTCTGACCCCAGTGTTGTGGCACCGCCTCCTTGGTGGCCTGGCTCTCCCCATTCTGTGGTGAAAATGCTTCTAAATTATAGACAGGACCAGGCCACTCTGCTATGGAATAAAATTGTTCCCCTAAGCCACTAAGTTGATTCAGTAGGTAAGGGTGCTTGCCACCAAATCTGATGGCCTGAGTTCAATTCCCAGAGTGAACACGGTAGAGAGAGACAGTCAGTTCAGACAAGCTGTCCTCTGACCTCCACGTGTGTGCACCCCCTCCACACACACAAGTTAAATGTAATAAAATGTTTTATTCCACCCCTTACACTGTTCTGAGGGCCTCAGGAGCTTTCTTTTCATACCTCCATCCTAACCAGCCCTGCCCACTCCCTGCACCGGCCTGCCCCTACCCTGTCCCCTTCCTGCCCCTTCCCTGGCCCTACCCTGTCCCCTTCCTGCTCCCTGCCTGCCCCAACCCTGTCCCCTTTCTGCCCCTACCCTGTACCCACCCTGCCCCCTTCCCTTACCCCTACCCCGCACCCACCTTGCCCCTTCCCTGCTCACTGAGCACTCTGCTTCACAATTCGCCCAGAATGCACCCTGCTCTGCCCCATCAGAGGGAAATTCATAATCTGAAAATGCTCCTTCTGTGTAGTTTGGGAATGCAACTTGAGGGTGTTGAGAATGCCCCCCCCCCAACACACACACACACTGAAGTCCTGCTGCCCTGATTCACTCTGATTTCCTATTGGTCTCTGTGCCTCCGTTTCCTTCAGCGGAAATATGGACGGCTTCCACCTCCTTGGCCGTTTTCACCACAAGCTCTGTCTTCAGACCTCTCCACCTGAGAGCTTTACCTCACAGAATTCCCAGGGTCCTCAGCAACATCTGCTCTGATTGCCACAGCTGCCACGAGTCCTCCAGCCCCCAACCCCTTCCCACCTTCCTGGCTAGAGCCAGTTTCCTTCCCTCCACCCAGGCCTCAGTCCAGTGGGGTCACCACCCTGATCCTCCATGTATTGATCCAAGCAAGTGTATCACATTCTCCAGCAGGAAGCAGTCAGGCCGCCCTCTTGGCACCAGAGAGCCCATTCCCACGTGTGGGTCACCCTGGCCCTGTGTGGCTTTGGATAGCCTGAGGCGTCTTCCTGCCTGAGCTGGAATGGCATTGCTGCTGGTCTCACCCACCTAGAACCAAGGGTCGGCCCTCAGGCATTCTTTGGGCTGGGGCTCACTCTTTCATCCATGAGGTCAACAGGTGGTCACAACCAGCTTCTCTCCCATGATGCCCCTCACGGCTGCCTGCGAGCACATATTCAGGGGCAAGCGCCATGTTCATCTCTCTTTCTAGAAAGTCTCCTGGGACTGGGTCGTGTCTCCCCCGGAAGCTCTGGATCCACTGTGCCCAGGGAGAGTGTCACAGATACATGAGGAAGTAGCAACCAAACACCATGCGTGGCTTGGTGCTGCAGCTAGCACGTTGAACCAAGTATGCCTTTGAGCTCTTAGTACAAGGGTTCGGGTGTTGTGTCTCTCTAGCTAGCCCATACCGCTATAAGGTGATGGGGGCACCTACAGTCATACTATGAAAACCACCCTTGCAGCCGGCAGAGGGGCAGCGTGTGAGCACTCACAATGTACCACCTGAAAAGTGAGTGAGTGCCACAAAGAAATGGTGGCAGCTTTTCAACTGCTGGAGGGAAAAAAAAGTTTCTCTCCTATGCCTTAGCAATGAGTTAAGAATCGAAGGTAAAGGGACTGGAGACATAGCTCAGCCAATCGAGTGCCTGCCTAGCAGGCTCTAAGCCCTGATTTCAGTCCCCAGCAGTGAATAAATCAGGTGCAGTGGTGAGTGCCTGGAGTCAGTTCAAGGTCAGCCAGGTGGTCAGCACATGGTCAGCTCTATACAGACAAAGGCAGACAGATCTCTATGAGTTCAAGGCCAGCCTGGTCTACAGAGTGAGTTCCAGGACAGCCAGGGCTGTGCAGAGAAACTGTGTCTTGAAAAAAAAAAAATCAAGTCATCCTCAGTTACATAGAGAGTTGGAGACTCTCTGTTATATGAAATACAGTCTCTATTTTTTTTTTAATGTGCTGGAGGTACAAGATAAGGAACAGTTCTACCTCAGAGCCACTTGTTAGCTTGTTCACACCCCAGACAGGATGAGCAGGGGCTGGGAAGACCAGACGTCATTGGCCTCTTGTCCCCAGCCGCCCCTGCCACTCACTCACCATGCCCTGCTCCAGCGCCTTCTTGATGTGCCTGGTGTCTGCCACTGGGAACCAGATCTCGGCGATGATGCACTGCTGGGTGACGTCAATGTTGCACATATTCAGGACATGGTAGACGGCCTTCATCTTCTGCACTTTGATGACCCAGGAGTGCCAGTTGGCAGCAGCTTCCTGCAGTAGGCGCTGCCGGTGAGACTCTGTTTGGGTAATGACCTGGCCGAAAGCAAAAAGAGAAAAACAATAGGGGTATTTGATAAGATGGTGAAAGCGGGGGTTCATCTGCCATAGTGGCTTCCCCTGCTTGGAAAGAGCACGTGATCAGTTTGTCTCCCCTACCCAAGGTTAGACCCTATGAGCAAGGCCTTTTCTCCTTTTTCCTCCTTTTCCTCTAAGCCATTTGCTTGCTCTTCCTCCTGCTGTTGCTCTAGGTTGAACTGTGTGTCCAGTTAGGAGGAGTGTGAGCCTGGATCTAGAGAGGAAGGCACCCAAGAAGTTCACCATGGGAACCGCGGCACTGATGGGAGCAACGCATCCACTAGCCAGGGCCATCAAGTTGCCAGTGGCCACCAGATGCTGGGTAGGACAGGAAGGGTCCTCCCTCAGCCTTCTCAGCAAGAGCCCTACCCAGGTGGTACCTTGATTTTGGACCTCTGGCCTCCAGAAAGAACTGTGTGTGAGAGTCTATGTCTAGTACCTGAACCTACCCACTGTGGTCATATGTTACAGTCAGACCAAACAGTCTCCATGATAAACCCTTCAATAAATGCCAAGCGAGTTCATGAACGGGAAACTTGGTGCTCATAAAACTCCTTTGATGGAATTACATTTCCTGTTTTGACAAATAAAACAGGGTCATCTTTTTCAGTCCCCTCTCATATGTTATAAAAGACAGTTCATGAACGTGAGACCTGTAAGACACAGGCCTGCACGTGTGTCTTGAAGGATCACTTGTGGCTGTAAAACAACTCAGTCTGAGGATTACCAGGAGACAAAACCACCGTGGCACAGATAAGTGTTCACTAACCTTACCACAAATCTCACCCTAACAAGAACACCTGCAGGCATGAAATGGCACAGTGTGTAAAGGTGCTTATGGTCAAGTCTGACTTCCTGAGTTTGATTCCCAGAGCCTACGTCATGAAAAGAAGCCATTTTTATAAGTTGTCCTCTGATCTCCACATGCCATAACACAAGTGCTTACACACACACACACACATTGATCTCCATATGCCATAACACATGTGCTTATACACACACGCACACACACACATACACACACATTGCTCTCCACATGCCATAACACAAGTGCTTACACACACACATTGATCTCCACATGCCATAACACATGTGCTTACAAACACATACACACACACATTGATCTCCACATGCCATAACACAAGTGCTTACACACACACACACACACACACACACACACACTGTGATTTTAAAAATCCTGCTCACAGACAGGATTGAATCCTAGAATACAGAAACTCTGAGAATGAACTCCAGAGGAGGCCCTTCTGGCCAGTCGGTCTTTTGACCCCATGCCTACACATGCCTGTTTTCACAGTTTGTCTTACAAGAACAAGTGCCAGCCACTGGAGAGAGCCTCAGATTCATCCTTGGCTATGACTGAACAAGGGAAAGCGGGTCAGTCAGAACTTCCCCAGATCTCTGAACACAGCTGCCCAAGTCCCACTCCACATAAACACAATCAGCCTCATTTCATCCCTGATCCCCATCAGAGTATTTTCAGAGGAGGAATTTCCTGAGGGAAAGAGTTGCTGGGACAGTGGCTAAAAAGGATTAGAGACAATTAAATAAAATACAGATATTCTGGGACAGTAAAAGTGTTCACTGGCCAAAGGCTTTTAAAGCACACATTCCAGGTGTTGTGGCATATACCTGTAACTCCAGCATTAGGAGTCTGAAGCAGGAGGATTGACATGAGTTCGAAACAAGCCTGAATTATGGAACAAATAGCCACCCACCTAGAGCTACACAGCAAGACCCGGTCTCAAAAATGAATAGCTAAAACCTAACTTCTAAACTCACACACTGGAGATTTAAAGTGTCCAGCCTATCCAGTAGTCAAGTGCAACTCTGGGGATCTCAATTTAATAAAAACTGAACAGTGATCCGGGGCAGCGGCTCAGCTGGTAAAGCGCTTGCCTTGCAAACATGACATCAGTCCAATGCCCAGAACTCATTTAAAAGAGCCAGGCACAGTGATGTACGCTAGCAATCCAAGGCTGAGGAGTTAGGGACGGGAGCCCTGGGGCTTGCTGGCCAGTCTGCCCACCTAAGGGGAAGCACTGGTAAAATCAGGGATTGGTGTGGGACAACGGTCTGTATTCTGTCAATTATATTTTAAATAAACGCTGATTGGCCAGTAGCCAGGCAGGACGTATTGGTGGGATAACCAGACAGGAAGTAGAGGCAGATCAATGAGAACAGGAGAATTCTGGAAAGAAGGAAGCCCATTCCTCTGCAGTCCTGGCCCAGAGACAGAGGAAGCAAGATGTGACTGCCTCACTAAATAAGGTACTGAGCCACACGGCTAGCATAGACAAGGATAATGGGTTAATATAAGTTATAGGAGTTAATAAGAAGCCGGAGCTTAATGGACCAATCAGTTTATAAATAATGCAGACCTCTGTGTGATTTCTTTGGGACTTAACGATTGCAGAAACCAGGCAGGACAGAAACCCCGACAACAAGGGACCCTGTCTCAAAGAAGGTAGACGGCACCCCTGAAGAGAATATCTGAAATTGAAATTGTCCTTGGCTTCGACACACGTGCACACACACACACACACACACACACGCACCCATGCACACACATAAGCACACTCATGCATGTGCACAAAACTTAAATAGTAATCAAAATTCAGTCCCTTGGCGTCACTTGTCACGTTTCAAAAGCTCAACAGCCACTTGTGGCCTGACATTACAGCACCGGATCGAGTGGCCTGCAGAGCAGTTCTGTGGCGCGGAAAGTTATCGTGGACTGCACTGGTGGGGAATACCATTGGACGGAGGCCCAGGTGACATCAGCAACCAGTTTGCACGCTGCTGCCATTCAAGAGTAGTCTGATCCCAGACACACGTGAAGTCTATCTGGGATGCATCCAGCACTCACAAGGAAAAACCAGACTCACTGTTTCCACAGTCATCCCAGCCAACTGGTTGCTCCACTCCGCTGGCTGATTGCAGGGTTGCAGACTCGTCAGGCAAAGGCTGGCCATAAAGGGCTTCTTTCATCAGATTAGGGCGGCTGCCTGAGGTGAACAAGGGCTGCGGTGCATTCTAAGCTGAGCAGCATGTGACAAGCATGCAGAATTGTCGGCCCCAGCTCACTGAACACTGCTTTCTAATTGTGCAATCGGTTGCAGTTCCAACCAGAATTGCAAAGCAAACATTCCAGGCAGGACTCACAAGGAAAGGGCAGTGGCCCCCATCAGCTCACGGCCTGAAGCCCTCACTCACAGTGATTAAGTCCTCCAGCCTCACGTTGACGCTGGCCAGCATCTCTCTGCGCTCGACCGCAGACTCCGGGCAGGGGTAGATGGTGGCACGAAACCTGTATTGGACACATTGAGAGGACACACATGAGTCCCTACAGAAAGCCTGCTACAGTCATTTCCCTAACCAGGCCATCACCGACTGCCTGACACTGCTCAAGGGGCCTCCTGTGTGGTCATTAGAAAATGATTCACAACAGCTGGGCACGGTGCCTCATGCCCGTAGCAGGAGGATTACAAGCTCAATGCTTCTACAGAATGAAGTCAAGGCCACCCTGGGGGTATGCCTCCATGGGAAGAGTGCTTACCTAGCATGAGTTGAGTTCCTGGGCTCACTCCTCAGGACCACACACACACACAGAGATTGGTCTACAGAAACAGCTGAGCCATGGTACCCATTTTCTCCTTTTCTGTTTATTCTTTTTCTGTGCCAATGAGTCAAACCCAGGGCCTCTAGCATGCCAGGCAATGCCCTCCCACCATGCTCCAGCTCCAGCCTGAGGCTGCCCACTCAACAAAGTAGAACAAGATATACTCTGAAACAGGTTGTGTCTCTACCTAGTACTGCCCTGGTAGTATCCTCACAACTAGTAACAGCTGGCTGCACTTCCAGCATCCTCCTAAATGGTCTTCAGAAAGTTATTCTGAAATCCTCGTCATCCTCAGAGAGGGCGTGTCATTCCACATGGCTCCACCCACTCCCAAGCCCACCACCAGGACAGAGCGTGACAGCCTCACTCACCCATCACAGATCTTCTTGATCTTCAGCCTGAGCTGTTCCCCTTGATAAAATATGATGAATATATTCTTTTTCATTTCTTCTTTCTGGAATATCAGGAAAATAAGGTTATTTCCCCTCTTTCTTTCCTTGCTTCCTTCCTTCCTTCCCAGTGTTGGAGGTGGAACCCCGATGTAAACATTCTCCCCTGGCAGAACATAAATCATAAACACAGAAAGGACTCTAACAGCTGCTTTGCTTGCTATGTGCCAGTGACCACAGCCGGGCTTTGAATTCTGTCTGTTCTCATTCCCACAGGGAAGAGGTGCTCACACCTAAGAAAACACCTCCAGGAGGGGCTAGGATATGTAATGGATTTCATGGTTCAGAACAGCAGTGGCTAGCCTGGGCATCAGAAGCAGCTGGAAACATCTGCACATCACAGTCTGTTTGGTACTTCCTAAGGGAGAGCTGTGACTAGTAGTGACTCACAGCTACTGACGAGGCACCCTTAAGAACACCACTTGGGCTGGGAGTGGAGTGGTGGCACTCGGAAGGAACGCAGAGGCAGGTGAATGTCACAAGTTTCAGACCAGTCAGGACAAAGGAGTGAAACCCTGTCTTAAAACAAAAGGAACAGAGACAAAACAAAAAGCAAAAGCCACTATTTCGGGCTAGGAGTAGCTCAGTGCCTGGGTGCTTGCCTAGCTAGTGCAGAGTCATGAGTTTAGTCCGTAGCAATGCAAAAGTCATTTGTAAAGAGGCGAGTATGGACTGAAACAGGGCTGCCAGTTTGTAGTTGTTTTTCATTTGAGGGAATGGGGGAAATTATAAAACTTGCTGTTGAAGGTTCCGATCCAATAAACTCATCTCATGCACTCGGCGTCCCAGCATCAGGGGCCACCTCAGAGGGAAGCCACTTGTCAGGACCAGAAAGGGTCATGAAGGCATCACATACCCTTCAAGCCTACCTTCCTTAGATTTATATTATAAAACTAATTCATCAAGAAGAAAAAAGCCACATGCATAATCCCAGGGCTACAAGGATGAGGAAGAGGGCATTGAGTTTAAGCCAAGCTGGGAATACACTGTTTCAAAACCACCACCACTACCAAAAGGTCCAGGAGCAGAGGGATGCAGAGGCTAGGTAGGGTAATTGGAAACAAAATGTCCAGAGATATAGCCAGAGAGTCACATCCTGATGGTCCCTCAGAGACAAATGGGTATACATGATCATAGGAACAGGGTAACAACTGCTTTGCACAACTTCCAAACTTCCTCCACCCAGGGAAGCTGTCCGGTCTTTTTCAGAATCTTTGAGGTCATCTAGACTCTAGATTCACTGGACTCAGGGATCCATTCCGACTTCCAGCACCTGCTGTGTGACCCTCCACGACCTGGATCATCTTTCTCCATATGTTCCCTTTATAAATGCTCTCCCATCAAGACAACTACATGTCAAAACTTGACTGTCAAGTGACAATCCAATTTAAAATAACCATAGAAGCCAAGCATGATTGGCCCATGCATGCGATCTCAACACCGCACAGCAGGCAAGAAGACCAGGACTGCAGGCCTGTCTCTGCTACCTGGACAATCCAAAGCCAGTCTGGGCTACATGAGACTTTATCAAAAACAAAAACAAAACAAAACAAGACACACACGGACACAAATAATAAGACTAAAGGATGCACGGGATTAAGGGTAGAAATTTTCTTATTTTAAACAAAAAAGCAAAAAACTCATTTCCATGTAAAATTATTACTGCCCGTGGTTAGAGAAAAGCAATACAAGAAGATAGTTTAAATATACTGGTGTACTTACTGGAGAGTATGTTTTGTATATTTTAAAAATTATTCACAGGGAAGAGCGTGAACTGCCCCCCCCCACTATCACAAATTATGGGATCAAGTTTCTCCCAGTGGGGTCAGCACAACCCAGATGCAATGAGCAAGCCTCACTCTGGGAAAACCCTGTCATCTCCTCCCCAGATAAATACATGTGTCTTTTTTTAAGATTTGTTTTCTATTTTATTTTAATGGTGGCTTTCTTTTTTCAATCAAATGAAATTTAAGATTCAAGTTTTTAGCATCAAGCCTGGAAGATTACAGACTTGGTTTCTGGGAGTGAAAGAACAAGAGCGTTTAAACGTTAATTGGAAGGGTGCAGGAAGGCAATTACTGGTGGAATTACCAGCGAGGAATGTGTAGCCTTCGGGGAAGAAGCCTGAGGGCTGTAGCAGCCAGTTCCATCTATCTTACCAACATCTTCGGGATGCTGTAAGAACTGCAACCGCAACCCTTAGGTTCCACCCCGGCCAAGCGAGATCCCAGGTGACTCTGCAACCTGTGTGCACCCCGAAGCTTGAGAAAGACAGACTCCAGTCGTCTCTGGGTGCATTTGTGAAGAAAACAGCTTCGGCCTCTTGTATAGTAAGGTTCTAGAAGCAAGATGCCCACACACTTTGAGGAGTGAACCAACTACGAGGTGTTAAGAAGAACTGGTCCTTAGAAGGGCCCTTCAAACATACTGAATTTAAAAGGTGGGGCCTGGGGAAAATAGAGAAGAAAAAGAAAGAAGAAGTGGGCAGGAGAGGACACAGATACTAGCTGGTGGTGAGTGAGCTGTCTTTAGTGCTAGGGACTCCAGGAAGCTTGCACAGCCCTTTCTGGAGGCCTGACACACCCACCGTCACGGGATCCTCCAGAAGCGTGTCCATCTCGCTGAACTTCAAGTACACGTTTCCCCGGCAAACTCTCCACAGCAGCCTCTCGAAGGAAGCCATCCTCTCCCTGTGTATCACGCCAGCCGTGAACCTAGACAGCAGCAAGAGATAACACTGAGGCCCAGGGCCCGTGGGATGACGGGAGCTGCTCACAAGCCACACATCCCCCCTGCCCACAGCCTGTTGGATTGTCTGTTTTCTTCGATACTGTGTCCTTAATCATTGCGATTCTATCTATGCTATAGTAACATTACGTGGTCTATAATACTATATTATATACACATAAATATATAATACAATAAACCATTCCTATGGTGTTATAGTCATTGTCAGTAAATGTTCAATGGTCTGTATGCACCCTTATTTTTCAGAAGCAATGTATTAAGAAACACACACTAAAAATATTTTAAAAAATAAGAAGATAAAAAGAAATACACACTGATATCCAAATATCTCTGTTTACAGCATCCTGGTACTTAGATAACTGCTGGCTTAAATGTCTAACATGGTCTTCAAAAATGTAACTTTTCAATGGTTTATTACTTTAGATAACGTTGATCTTTTATTACCTTCAAGTAAAATATTTATATAAATGTCATCTTCTTTCCATTTCATTTTGGGTTTTGGGTTTTTTGTTTTGTTTTTGAGAAAGGGTTTCTCTGTAGTCCTTACCTGGAAGCTCTCTATGTAGACCAAACTAGCCTGGAACTTGTAGAGGTCAGCCTGCCTCTGCCTCCAGAGTGCTGGGATTAAAGGTGTGTGCAACCACAGTCAGCTCCATTTCAAATCTCAATAAGCTCACAAATATTTACTGAATAAAAAATTAGGGGCCTCCAGCCACAATGTTCATTAATGTTTTAAACTTCATCGACCTCACATAAACACTGAATGCACCCCCATTTTTTTAAATATTTATTTATTTATTATGTATACAATATTCTGTCTGTGTGTATGCTCGAAGGCCAGAAGAGGACACCAGACCCCATTACAGATGGTTGTGAGCCACCATGTGGTTGCTGGGAATTGAACTCGGGGCCTTTGGAAGAGCTGGCAATGCTCTTAACCTCTAAGCCATCTCTCCAGCCCCTGCACCCCCATTTTTAACTGCCACATATTTTCATGAATATCATGCCATAGTTCTACCACTTAGGGTTCATTTGCCTGCTCAACTTTGTCATCCCTAACAACATTTGAAAACTCCAAATATATTTTATCAAACACAAGGGGGGCGGGGTGGAACATACCTACCTCCTAGCTTTGTCCCAAAGCTAGAGAAGAGTCACAAATAAACCATGAAGCCACATCCGCCCCATATGGGAGCCCTGTACACAGGCAGGCACTCTCCAGTTTGAAGCCATGAGCATAGTCACGAACAAGGGCTCTCCCTCGCTCACCTCACCAGCCTTGTAGGTTACCCCCGGGTCTGTCCCTGCATGGAAGCCTTGCATTCATACCCAGTTCTCCCTCAGTTGGGGAGATTTACCAAATACCAGGTATCAGGCAAAAGACCAGGAACCTACCCACACCCAACTCTTAGGACATGGAGTGATACTAACCCCAACTTCCCAGTCATGAACGCAGGTATGGCTCTTAACTCCAAGAGACCCGAAGTGTCTTCAACAAAGAAATCGTCAGCTAAGTTGGTTTCTGTCTGAAAGACAAACACCAGCCCTGTCATCAAACACAGGCACCTTAGAAGCACCCGGACCTCAGGCTTTGATAAGGAAGCTTTAATCTTCCACAGATGTTAACAGAAGTGAACAAGAAAGAGCTCCTTGTCAGAACAAAAACCCCCAAACCTTCCCACCCCAACCCTAAGTCTACTCAAACCCCATCCTCCTTGTTCTGGCTCCCCTTCTCTTGGGTCATACTTTTCTTATTGAGACAGGGTGTCACTATGTCACCCTAATTAGCCTAGAACTTGATCTATAGACCAAGCCTGCCTCTGCCTCCCAAGCAGTGGGATTGAAGGTGTCACCACCATGCCTGACCCAAGTGCCATCATTTTTTTTTTTTTTTTTTTTTTTTGCATTCCCTTGAACAGGAATCACTGTTGGAGTACTCCCCACTTTGCTGATAGAATGGCCACGGGCCAAGAAACAAAGTGTTTTATCCATAGTCCAGACCAGCCAATTTTTAAAACAGAAACTTGGGGATCCGAGGAAAGGACCCCCCCCCCCAAGAAACACCTCAAAAAAGTCCTGGGTCTTCTTTAGGAGGTATTTGAGTTCTGTCAGTTCCAGAAAGCTCTTCTTCAAAGCCTGTTGGCTCTGGTTGGCTTCCTGGAGCTCTCCTTCCAGTTTCTCCAGAGTACTCTGCGGAGGGAAGAAAAAAATAAGCCGAGTTAAAAGTGCTGTGACCCTCATCCTACACACTGACCCTGATCCCGAGAACCAGAGAGCAGAGAGGCCATCCCCGTCAAACTACAGCTGAAGCTGGGCGCTCCAGTCGGCTGTAAATTCAACATTCTTGTGGAAGGCAGCAAAGGCCTGACAAACACTGTCTGGAGTGTCATCCTCCGACAGTGGCAATCCACAATCACTGAAGGATGAAGGAGAACTCTTGAGGAACTCATGGTGTCTTGTCCCCTTTAGGTAAGAAAGTAATTTTACAGTTGGAAATCTAGGTTAAAATGCAAGACAGGAGAGTATTCTCCCCCCTCCCCCCATGACCTCTGCCCAGTTCTACGTGGATCCATGGATCTGAAGAACCAAATTCAAACAAGAGATAAGAGGCTACAGAGAATAGTGAGAAAAAAAGCAAGAAGGCAGAACTGAGTCAAAAACAAAACAAAGCAAAAAAACCCACAACAATTTATTCTCCTGACTGAGCACACACACGAGAGAATAAAGCTTGTATGAAACCTGATGGGAAAAATCACCAGCAAATCAGGTCGGACACACACACATAAATCACATGGCAGTCAATCATAGAATAGTCTGGAAAAACAACTTTTCTGTTTTGTTTTAGAATGTTCAAAGAGGTAAGTAAGAGAGGGTGTTCCCTTCATTAATAAGGAAAAATAATAAATGGTTAAACAGCAGTTACCTCAAATAAGAAAGCAGGCAGCGGACCAGCAAGATGGCTCCGCAGGTAAAGGCACTTGCCACCAAGCCTGACAACTCAAGTTCTAATCCCAGGCCCCACGGAGTGAAGGAAAGAACCAACCCCTGCAAGTGGTCCTCTGACTTCCATACGCACATCATAGTATGTGCACATCCACACTCACCCGAGAGACATAAAGAAATGTAAGAACTTGAAAATCAGACAGACATAAAAAGATAACTATTAGAAATCTGGAAAGTGAAAAGATATAGCTATTCAAATTCAAAGCCCAATAAATGAGATGTAGTACATTCTACACATGATTTGTAAATTTAATATTGAAATGTAACAGTCAGGCATGGTGTTTCACACCTTTAATTTCAGTACTTAAGAGGTGGAGGCAGGTGGATCTCTGGGAGTTCAAGGCTAACCTGGTCTACTTAGTGAGTTCTAGGACAGTCAGAGCTGTATAATGGACACACCGTATCTAATAAGGAAGGGAGGAAGGGAGGGAGGGAGGGAAGGAGGGAGGGAGGAAAAGGAAAAACCTAGGTCACTTATTTAAAAAAAAAACTTTAAAATAGAATGGAGAGCTGGGCAGTGGTGGCACACGCCTTTAATCCCAGCACTTAGAAGGCAAAGGCAGGTGGGCCTTTGTAAGTTTGAGGCCAGCCTGGTCTACAGACTGAGTTGAGTTCCAGGACAGCCAGGGCTACACAGAGAAACCCTGTCTTGGGGGAAATTACAATAGAGAGGACTAGAGACTGGGCTCAGTGGGTTAACAGTATTTGCTGCTCTTGCAGAGGACCTAGGTTCTGTCCAGCACCCACATGTTGGCTCACAGCCAACTTAACTCCAGTTCCGAGTGATTCAAAGGCCTCTCTGTCCTCCATGGGCACCAAGCACGCACATGGTGCATATACATACATGCAGGCAAACACTCAGACATGTAAAATAAGTATACCCAAGAAGGGCTGTCTATACCAATGATGCTACCTTCCCCTCTGCCTCCTGAAAACAAGTGTATACTGTCAGAAAAAACTGAATGCTGGGATTTGGAGCAGTGAGACTTGAAGGTGCCTGTCTCGGCACAGTTGAAGAGTTTACAGAACAGTCAGTTAAACCAATCAGTCAGAGTCCAGCTGGAGGAAATTTTTTTTTTTTAAGTTTAAAAGAGCCAGTTCACAAACTTTGTTCTGCCAGGCACTTAAGAGGAACACATCCCGTTCAGCCTGTCCTATGGTACCACATAGATAAGACTCCACTGCCTGTGAGAAACTTCTATACTCAAAGGAGTTCGAGGCCAGCCTGGTCTACAGAGCTAGTTCCAGGACAGCAGGCACCAAAAGCTACAGAGAAACCCTGTCTCAAAAAAAAAAAAAAAAAAAAGAAAAGAAAAGAAAAGAAAGAAAGAAAGAAAGAAAGAAAGAAATCCCTCCTCAAAGTGGGGCGAGCTTGCTCAGAGCGGTGTTGAGAAAGGAAAACAGCTCCCTCCCCAATCGGCATAAGAGGCCCTAAAGTTGTACCCTGAGATTTTCCTAGGACACTATCTTAGTTAGGGTTTCTTTTGCTGTGGTGAACGGCAGGAACTCAACCGGGGCAGGATGCTGGAGGCAGGAGCTGATACGGAGGTCATGGAGGGGCACTGTTTACTAGCTTGTTCCCCATGGCTTGTTCACCCTGCAAGAGCCCAGGACACGCTACCTCCACCATGGTCTGAACACTCCCTCATCCACACTAAATAAGAAGATACGCTCTAGGCGGGCCTACAGCCCCATTTTATGGAGACATTTTTCTCAACTGACGCTCCCTCCTCTCAGATAGCTCTAACTTGTGACATGCTGACATAAAACTAGCCAGAGCAGACACAAAGTAGCCCCCAAAAAGGAACTATCACCTACTTGTTCACATGTAAAGAATCTAAAAACTACTTGACCGTCCTCAGCTCAGGGGATGTTTGTAAAGCGAGGCTCTTACCTCCAGGGTGATCATTTCTCGGGGGAGAGGCGTCTCTGGCTCCTTCTCGGGCGTCTGGATTACAATCTCGTTTTGCATCTCATCTTCCAGAAAACCTGAAGGAAAGCACAGATATCACGACTTCCCAGAATCCGGAAGTGGGGGTCCAGCAGAAGAGGTGCCTCGGGCCAGCTGAGTTATCTGGGCTGCTCTAGTTCCTGACCCATGGGGAGTGGGGGGGTCCATCCTCTTTCCCACGTTGGCTTGGCACAGCTCTCTGCCATGTAACGCTTCCTGAAGTGGTTCCCAAGGCAGAGGGTGCGGGGAATCACGGTAATTAAGTTCTATAAACTAGCTACCGCTTTTGGTTCACAGTTAGGCAACGAGAGGAAAGTGGCTTACGGAGGATTCGCTCCAGCGACTCGCACCTTCGGACTTCATTCACAAACTTCCTCTGGAAGCTGTTCACATTTGCATTGAGCTGCAGGAAAGGGGAAGCACGGGCTCACGTTAGGGATCTGCAGCTACCAGTGTCTTCCTCCCCTCACTTCATTACCCTCTGGACGCTGGAGACTGCTGCTAGCAAGGCGTTAGGAACACACATGCTGCGCACGGGATGTATGAGTCCCGGCAAGTTGCACCTTCCATTCCTACCGTCCTCAGTGGGGTCAGGAATACGAGGGGATCGAGAACACTGTACAGGTCTACAGAGTGCATCCGGGTCATCAACGAGAATTCACCCTCTGCTGTGGGTAACTCTCAGCTTAACCTAATAAACATTAGGCCTAGAGAGAGGGCTCAGTGGTTAAGCGCACTTTCCGGTCTTCCAGTTAGGGTTCCAGAAAGCAAGTCAGGCAGCTCACAGTCACGCCGCCGAGCCCCAGCACCAGGAGACCCAATGCCTCTGACCTCGTGAGCACCACACTCAGATGTGTGCATGCATGCCCACGCACACTTACTCATGATAAAGATAAAATCTTTAAAAAAAAATTGTTAGTGAGGACTGGCCTCTGGTCGGGTGCTATGCTAACTAGCAATGCAAAGGACAAGACCAGGGCCTCCCACGAGGGAGCCAAGGTTTGACTTTGACCTTGGTGAGGAAATAAAAAAGGACTTATTTTCTAAATTGGACTCAGTTAAAGCTTGGCAAAGATATAAACGGCCCCTAAGGAGCAACACTCCTGATAGCCCATCCCTAGAGTGCCATTACCGGAACTCAGTGTCTGAAGCAATTGCCAATTCCAGGATGGATGCGTTGCCTCTAGTCTGACTAGTCAGAGAAAATAGATTCTGCATCTACTTTGAAAATTGGTAATTCTCTATTCACTGCCTAGATCCAGTATGTGGAGATGCTGTGCAAGAACTGAAACACCCACTCACTGAACTGCAGCTTCAAAACATTCCTAGAGAAGCGTCGGAGGAGGAGGAGAGTAGAGAGTGACCCGCTGAGGGTCAGGAGAAATCTCGGCCGGAAGGTCCGGGCCCTGGAATTCCGCCTATCCTAGCTCTGGGCTCCTCTTCCAGCAGAGTGTGTTTTGTTGCTTATCAGGAAGCATTGTGCAAGGGCTATCCATTGCCACCCCACCTTCCCCTTATCTCCAAAGAATGCAGCACCTACATCTTTGAACTGAACCAAGCCAAGCTCTCCCAGCTCAGCTACACAGCAATAGGCAGCCTCCACCTGGAGAAAGACTTGGGATAAACACATCTCCTCACTTCGAAACACAGATGCCATGTTGGCCCAGCCTTAGTCTGGAGGGGAAAAAAAGAGAGAGATAGAAGGTAATAAATATATGAAAATCTTAACATGATTTAAGTTAGGATTTAAAAAAAAAAAAAACTCACTGGGTTCTAGCCCAGTAATAGAGTCCTGACATAGCCATGTCTGTTCACTGAACACAGCCTAGCTCAATCCCCAGTGCCTGCTAAACCACTCACACATACACAGATACACAGACAAAGAGAGACAGACAAAGACAAATAAATCAACATTAATGAACCCAAATCACCCCAAATTGAAACTTGGGAGCACCAATATGATGCCACATCTGGAAGAAGTGTCCCACCCCCACCTCCACCTTGACCTGCTAGTTACAGCTGTGCTCTGAAAATAACAAATTCCCCTCCAGCCATGAGTATGCAATGTTTACGTTGAGACGTGGAATGAGTTTTGCCTGTAGACTTGGATTCTATCCCCAAGATGGTGTATTGTGTGTGTGTGTATACATTGCAAAACATGGAAAGCTAAAAGTTCCAGCGCCAAGCCTTTCAAGTGCTCAGGCTGGGGGGACGGGACTTCCAAGGTTGGTCAGAGAAAAGCAACTAAGGCCCTGGCTCTCCCAGCTGCTTCCCAACCACTCCGTGTACACTGTAAGGAGCCTACTCGAGGCTGGGGACAACGCATTCCAAAGTGTGGCGTGTGACATTTGTGACTCACATTCCCGCACCTCCAGACATTTAGCATGGGCCTGGGAGATTGCTTAGTGGAGAAAAATGCACCTGCCACCTGGCCAGATTTAACTGAGTTCAATCCCAGAAACCATCAAGTAGAGGGAGAGAGCCAGGTGCGGCAGTACGTGCCTTTAATCCCAAGGCTGGAAGTCAGAAGCAGGTGGATCCTGAGTTCAAGGCCAGCCTTGAACTATGTGTGTACATACATACATACATACATACATACATACATACATACATACATACATAGAGAGAACAAACTTGCAAAGAGTCCCAAAGTTTTCACTAAATATCACATCAGGTTCAGACCCAGGAGGGTCCCTCCCACACCTGCGCGTTCAGTAAGAAGCTGCCTTTCCTGTCATCTTCTAGCATCATCACCCGCCACTGCTACCTCATCTAACCCCACGGCCCAAGCCAGGAAACCCCTAAGGTCTGCAGGTCCAGGTCTCCAGCCATAAGGCCCTGAGCCTCCTTTCCTCCCTGGCTGGCACAGACTCCCCTATTCTTGTTTCTGTGTGACTGCCAGAGCCTGGTACCCCAGGTCCCGCCCTGACTCCACTGAATAGCTCTAGGCTCAACTCCAGATCCTGGGGTTCAGGACCCTCTACTTCAAGGCTTCCCAAGCCTTGACCCTTCCCCTGGTTCCATCCATGAGGGACCCCTCTCCCCAACTCTCTTCCTCCACGATTCCATTTCCAAGCCTCCCAGGCTGCCACCTTCGGGTCTGGAGAACCAGAGTTCTACCTGTTCTAAGTGAGTCCTCACACACAGTCTTCTGTACCCCTAGAGCACTGATTCATCTTTTCTGACTGTGCACCCCTCTTTCCCATCCCCCTCCACCAAACCCTTCTCTAGAACTCTTCTCCTGGACCTTTGGGGCCCACACACCACACACTCATGAAACAAAACAGTCACGGTACCCAGGGCACTGATTTCCTTTAGTGTCTCTGCTGGAGCAGAAGGCAAGGGAGGATGCTTTCCTGGGTTAGGAAGGAAGGCCAAGACGCTTTCCAGTGGGTGCAGGCAGTGAATGGGGGCCTGTCCACAGGGGAGGCCCCGAGAGGGCCCCCATTGCTTCTCGCCATCGTTTTCCTTAGTGTCAACCTAGAAAACCGCTGGCCTCTAAGCATCGATTTCACTTCATAACACTCGGCAGGTCCACGGCCTGCCAGACCCCAGGCCTGGGCCCCAGCAGGATGAAGTCTAAGACTCACAATCAGGCCAAGTGGAGGCCCCAGGAGTGGCCTGTCTGCTCGGCTTCACGTCTTCACTCCCCTCTTTCTCCCTAATCCTGCACCTACCTCAGGGCCTTTGCTCATGCTCCCCAGCTGAGCCGGAGCCTCAGTCTTTCCCCTCCACACCCCACGTGGTCCTGCCGCCGTTCCATTCTCCCATTAGCCCTCCCAGACTACCCTGCCTCCTGTCTGCTGCCGATTATCAATGACTTGCTTAACAGGTGCTCAGTTTCTCCATATCTCCATAGCTAGCAAAATCCCGAGGCTGGGACTAATCCATTAGCTTAGCATAGAGCAAGCTCAATATTAATCACAAAGTAATTGTCAAAGAGGATGTCCTGACTTTTCCTTAAACCCCGCCCCAGAAGTCCACCAACTGGAGCTGCAGTTTTGCCTTTGGGCACCAAAATGAATCAGAAAGGGATTTTTTTTTTTCTATTCTGTCTGATAAACGAGGCAACACGTTCACAGAACTATAAGACATTAGTTTCATGCAGACCAAAAAGCACAACACCAAGACCTTTCTCACCTGAGTTTCCTTGGAGCTGGTTTGGGTGGAGACCCACTGCCCAATTCCTGCAGCAGGGAGTGCCCAGCAGCAACAGAGGCAGCAGCAGCAGGCGGCAGCCACAGTCAGTTGTGGCTTTCAAGGTGGCCCAGAGCCCAGTGGCAGGGAGGCTGCCTAGCCTCTCCCTCTCCACACACTGTCCCAGCTCCCTCTCCAGAGGCCACTCTGTTGTATCAACACATCCTGCAGTGGGTGAGCTCAAACCTGCCACACCGGCCAGCCCTGCTCCACCCTAGCCCCAGCGGGCCCCGCCCTCAGCGTTGACCTTGAGTCCCCACCGCCAAGCAAGACCGGAGTTCTCTTGGGGGTGACTTGCCCCACAGGGAACTGAGGTTGGGGACGAGGTTTCCTGGGGCCTTAGAAGGGCAAGACAAGACAGCAGGCTAGTTCAACTCCTACACAAATCAAAATACTCCTTCAGTCACAAGAATGAAGCTGGGTGTGGCTTACTGGTAGAGCACTTGCCTAGCAGGTAGGAGGTCCTGGGTTTGATCCCGACACCGCACAAAACAGTAAGAATGAAATCACATTAGGAAGCTGGTTTAGAAGAGAACAGAGCATCTCATTCACTGTCCGTAAGTACTTCCCCAGACGCTGTGTTCCTCAAGGCGAAGAGGCAGGCAGGTGGAGCCTTAGAGGAACCAGCAGGTGAAATTCAGCCTCCCAAGGGCCAACGCTGCCATTTATTTTGCGGTGATGAGAAGACCAGAGCGAGTCAGGTTTCTCTGGGCTCAGAAATTTCCTCTGCAGCAGCCACCTGCCTGCCTTGTTGTGAACGAATTTTCCAGAACAGCTTTTCCAGGTGGTTGTGTGCCAGTTCCCTTTGGGTACCCACCGAGGGTCCCCAAAATGCACCCAGTGGGTCCTCAAATGAGGAGTGTTTTTTAGTTGGTCCTCCCCCCACCCCCACCCCCCGTTTTATGGTGTGTATGTATGTGTTTTATTTGAGACAGGGTCTCACGTAGCCCAGGCTGGCCTTGAACGTACTAGGTAGACTTTCTGATCCTCCTGTCCCCTCTCCCCAGTGCTGAGAGAGCAGGCATGTGCCACCACCCCTGGTTTATGTGGTGCTGGGATTGAACCCAGGGCTTCATGGATACTAAACAGGCACACTGCTGTCTGAGCCACATTCCTAGTGCTTGCTTTTCAGTGTTTTTTGTTTGTTTGTCTTTTTGTTTTGTTTTTCCGAGACAGGGTTTCTCTGTGGCTTTGAAGCCTGTCCTGGAACTCGCTCTTGTAGACCAGGCTGGCCTCGAACTCACAGAGATCCACCTGCCTCTGCCTCCCAAGTGCTGGGATTAAAGGCATGCGCCACCACCACCTGGCCAGTGTTTCTTATGGAAAACATTAAAATATCTGTCAGAGTAGAAAGACTAGCCCTAGTGCAAGAACCTTCTAAACACATGTCACTCAACTGCAACAACTCGAATTTTTTGTCATCTAAATTCCACTAATTATTAATACTTTAAAGTTAATGCCATATATCACATAATTTCTTTCAGAAACTGTCAACATGTCATATACCTCTAAAAGAAAAAGATTCTTTCATAGACACACTCACACAAAGTCATGATCACTCCTCAAATTCAACGATAATGCTTTCATATCAAATATCCTACCAGGGATGTCTGCGCTGGCTTTAACTGTCAACTTGACACAGCCTAGAATCACCTGGAAGTTGCTAATCCCACCTCCCACCGGACATGAATAAGATCACTATCACAGTTTAAAGCCAAATCTGAAGCAGGCTTAAATTAAATACTGGCCAGGTGGATGAACTCTAGCCAGGTCTATAATCTGGTTCCCTGGAAATGGCCCTAATTCAAGTTTTGCAGGGACTTAAAAAGGCAAAATTTGTAATTCACTACATTTCCCCATGAGGTCCAATCAGGGACAAACATACATCCTGAAGTACCTTCTGCCTACGTCCAATCAGGGGCAAGAGTACATCCTGATGTATTTCCTGCCCATGGACCTCCCACCCACAGGTGAAGAAGCACACCCAGTGCAGATGGGGCAAACAAACCTGATTAGGGGAGTGAGAGCACCTGGCTTGTTTTCTCCCATAAACAATGGCCTCCAGCATTTTGGGAACCATCTGTCCTTGAACAAGGGGCTCGCTGTCCACAGGCATTTTTGATTCTTAGATTTCTAAAGCACAGTAATTAAAACTTAATTCCTATTAAGGGCCAGGCAGTGGCGGCGCACACCTTGAATCTCAGTACTTAGGAGGCAGAGGCAGATGGATCTCTGTGAGTTTGAGGCTGGCCTGGTCTACAGAGTGAGTTCCAAGACAGTCAGAGAGGTTACACAGAGAAACCCTGTCTCAAAAAACCAACCAAACAACAACAACAATAAAACCTTTGGTTCTCACAAAGTGAGTTAATGAAGAATTATTTAGATCGCTAGTCTGTGGCCATGTCTGGGGGTGTCTTATTGGGAGACCTAGCCCATTGTGGGTGGAACCATTCCCTAGGCAGAGAATCTTAAACCAC